TATTTTTAGTTGTCTGATTCATTTCTTTCTATTTTTAGTAGAGACGGGGTCTCGCTCTTGCTCAGGCTGGTTTCGAACTCCTGAGCTCAAACAATCCACCTGCCTTGGCCTCCCAGAGGGCTAGGATTATAGGCGTGAGCCACCGTGCCCTGCCCTCCTATACTTTTGTGTACTCATGCTCTGAGCCTTTGTTTTTCTTTGTCTTGTGTAACCCAAGCACTTGCTGCCTGGGTGTACCCCCAAGTCATCCAACTTCCTTCAAATGTGCGGGGTCTCTTAATGGTCCTCTAGAGACTTTTATTTTGCCTCCCTGTGCCTTGCTGCCTCCTTCGATTCTGACTTTTACTGAATTCTCTACCTCACTTTGTCTCACTTGGTCTCACTTGGCTCTCTTCTCTCTGTCCCCCTCCACTTGGCTTATTTCAGTACCGGGTTACTCCTTCATTCTGCCAACTCAAAGAAGCCTTCCCACAAGCTGTTGTATAGTACATGTTTGCTGAAGGTTTCGGGCAAAGAAGGAAATTAAACCACAATGGAAAGTGGCACACAAAAAAAACTGAATGTTAGAAATCACTGAACCAAAAAGCTACTAGCTCTACTAGGGATCGGAAAACTACTATCTGTGAGTCAAATCCAGTTGGCCACTTGTTTTTATAAACAGTGTTTTACTGGGATTCAGCCACACCCGTTCATTTACCTATTGTCTATGGCTGCTTTTGCACTACAACAGAGTTGAGCAGTTGCAACAGAGAGCCAGAGACTGCATGGCCCATAAAGCCAAAAATATTTACTATCTGGCCTTTTAGTGGAAGAGTGTGGCAACCCCTGAACCATATCCTACTATGAGGAGTTTCTCAAGGGGCTAGTACCCCCTTGAACCTTGGCTTTCCATCCCTTTCCCAGGCCTCTCTCTCTTTAGATACCCCTCCCTTTTGTTCAAATCTTTACTGCATTCTCAGGGTACCTCATTTGACTGTTGGGCTTCTTGCAAATTCAAAACTCAATTTTTTTTTATCATACAGAGCAATTCATTTGTTTCTTGCTTACTCTGGCTATGCCCAGGAATTCTAAAATTTCCTGACCATAGGTATTCAGGGCACTTTCAGAAACAATATCACCATATGCCCTAGAAAGGAATTAGGCCACTCCTATAGAAAGTGGAAGCAAAAGTATCACATTCGTTACTAAATTTCTTTTTATGTCCTACCTCTTTCTTATATCAATGTGCATTAATCTAAACTGGGCAATGTTATACCTGCATACATGTCAGAAATCCTAAATTTAACAGAGAATAGTGGAAGAGGCCACAGAAAAGGTAAGGGGCTGGGAAAGGCATTTTTATAGGTAACCAAGATATAAGTATAGGCAATTCAAATTTTTCTAAACAAAACAAATACAGGTTATGTCCTATTTTTTCCTACAATAGAAATGAATTTGCAATGACCTGTTTATTATCTGGCTTCCTAGTCACTTTGCTTCTATCTTATGGCTCATTTTTCATTAGTGTTTGTGAAAATAAATGAAATAGGCATTGCTTTTATAAAAATTCAGAACTGATATTTTACTTTTTGAAGCTTTAATAATCATTTAGTCTGATCCTTCTTCAAATGGGCACTCATGTATGCCCTGGGGATGCCTGGTTAATATACCAAGGGGAAATACGAAAGTCATGAGATGAAACTGGCATGGCTTCCTAGGAGAATATCTTTTTCTAATGTTAATCCAATGGTTCCAAGGAAAAATAGCATTATTGCTATATTAACACAAATACATATATAAGGGAACAAAAGGCAAATAATGTAGGAGATTTTAAGGTAAAACAAGACAGATAATATCATGCTTTCTGGGATGCTTTAACTTATGTCTGCAGGTTCTTAGGTGAGACACCCACTCTCCTTTACTATTGGGGTGCTCTGAGGGGAAAGTCGTACAGAACTGATTCAAGGCCAGCTGTGTTGCCAGCAAGCATAAACAGACAAAATAACAGCAGACTGTAAGGGAAATGATTATTTTTATAAGAGTTCATTTTTAAAATATCCCACAATACTAAATAATTTGATTCGGTCTCACTCTTGCCAGGTTACCTGCCCAGAACACTTTTTCACCTTTCTTCCTATCCAAGTATCTTTAACCCAGCTC